GTTTACTTCGCCCCCATTATTTTTTATTAAATGAAGTAGCAAGCAAATCAAGCAAAATGCCTTTACAGATTCTTTCTGAAGACAAACCCTTCGGTTGTATGTCGGCTTCTTAAGTACTGGTTGACCCAAGGATTAAAAAAAGAACTCTCCATACGCCAGCCACATCCCGCCTACGACCATCACCCTCACCAGCAGCCAATCAACGAAGCGAACACCGACACTCCACCTTCCATACAGTTTTACACTTCACTTATCCTCCTCCTCTAGTTCAGTACAATTTGCTTTCTCTGCCATAATAATCAGAGGTGTTGATTGGACCAAATTTAGCTCTTCAGATCTATCTATCTATCTATCTATCTATCTATCTATCTATCTATTCGTTTCTCTATGAGTGAGTATGTATTTGTTTAACTCGCTGTATTCGATCACAACTTGTTTCCCTATCTACAACTGTTCATACTTCACTATTTCTCTCCTTCCTCTCTTGTTTCCACTCTTTCTTTCTTTCTTTCTTTCTTTTCTTTCTTTCTTTCTTTCTTTGAAATTTGGAGTGTACGATTTGTAGTTGTATTGTGGAGATAATATGTGATAATAATTTAATAGATTTAATGAAGCTTCTGATTTTAATGAGCCTTTTTTCACGAAACTCTGAAGTCGGTCATTGATATACTGAAGATTTACTGATTAATTTAGAGACTGTTGTTGCTCTAATTATCTAGCTAGCACACTTTTGACAAAAATTCTGTTGGTCTTAAAAATACATTAACATAGAGCAGTTTTTATGTATTATTCTAGTACAACTCAGTTGTGTGTCATGCGTGATACACGCTTAGGCGATCATGTATCTTTCTATACATGACTGACGAAGCAGTAGGTTGCCATTTCTTTCTGCAGTAGACCAATTGCCATCCAAGGCTACAGAATCCGGTCTGTCCTGTTATTTATCCATAGCTGGAAGGAGAAGAACGGGATTCATACTTTTCCCAAGGGTATTGGCACGTAAGTGAATGTAATGGATTCGACTGGAATTCGAACTCGGCTCTCCGATTCCTCAATCCGAGCCGCTATCCATTACTTCAACATGCCTCCTAGTACAACTAGTAACCTTTTTATATTTGACTTCTGATTTTGGTCGGGACTGGCCTGGCTTGAATAGTCCAGGTGTTCTGATAGAGATAAAGAAATATTTTAATAGTAATTAATTTTGTAAGCATGTCAACTATGAAGCATTCCTTTTTTTTTTTACTATTATTCATCTTATATAAGGCCCAAGAGCCACTTGAGGTAGAGGATTACTGTAGGAGTTTTCTATGTGAGAACGGAAGAGAGCCTACTCCGATTAGAACTCTTTTCTCTCTATTATCTCATATACTCTATTGTGCTATTATTCCTTTTGTAAAACAATAACAAGGAAATAATTCTAACTACTAAAATATAACACACCAACATAGAAACTATCTTATTCAACCATAACCTAAAATTTGTCAACACCACTACTAAAACAATAGGAAACATAGTTAGTACCAAACGAGATACAACAACAAGAAGACAGAAGCAGGGATATAAAGAATAAATTGTATAAAATGCTCAATAGTGTACATCGGTGAAACATCAAGAGACCTAAAAAATACTATATGAACAACGCAGAGATATGCTGCATACCAACACTTTAAATGCACTTGTGGTTCACTGTAAGACATTTGAACACAATTTCGATTTAATAAATGCCAATCTGATCATGAGGGTAAAGGATTCATTAACTGTAAAAAGCGTTGAAAATATGTTAATCTCACAATTTTCGACAATATACCTCGGACCAGGATCATACTTAATACTTCCGATGATATTAGCAACCCACCAATAATAGCGCAATTTGAGTTTACAAGCTAACAGAGAAAAACAGATTTACTCGGGTTAAGTTGATTCATCAACGGCTCTAATAAAACAAATAATAAATACATAAAACAAACAAACACTCTTTGGTCGTCGGCTCTGATTAGGTAATTCAATTTATTACTCTTCTTATCCTAAAAGAACTTCCAACGCATTTTTCTTACACAGAGTTTTGTCTTTTATTCCAACTCTGGAGGAGCCAAACCCCCCCCCACACACACACGTAACGTTTGTCGGAATGCGCTACCTAGAAGCTTTTATAAAATATCCATATAGGTACCTCCAAAGATTCCCTAAAAACTGTGCATACATGATGAAAAAATGCCAAGGAATTACTTCATGCAATTTTTTTTAAATTCCTTTTTGTATCCTTCAAAATTTTGGGTAATTTTTTTTTCGCCGGTGACAACATGAAGCCATATATTAATATGTGAAATTTGAATAAATTTGTGAAATTACAGCGTCTTTTCCGGTAAAAAACACATTGATTTTGAAATTCTTGAAAAAATCAGATAATTATCAGATAATGAAACCTGGAAATTATTTTTAAATCGTTTCTTTTCTTTTTATAAACTCTTGGTAGAAAAAAAAAATTAACAGCTGTACCTCCTTAAACACACACACACAGAGAGAGAGAGAGAGAGAGAGAGACACACACACACACAGAGAGAGAGAGAGAGAGAGACACACACACACACACTCCCACTTATGTATCTGTCTATATTTCTGAGATGAGGGATTATGTACACTATTTACATTATCCGGACTATTGTCCCCATCTTTGTCGCCATATTTATTACAACGTCCCGGCCGTTGTACGCTCCGGCCTTCTTCAGGTCGATGGAATGTCGAACTGAACCCTTTATTTCACTCACTGGGGTAGACTGTTCTAGTTCCACGTGCTATGTTTGATGGATATCAGTTATCAGTTATCTCCTGTTAATTTCCCTCTCCAAGTTCTCCACTGCCTTAACCGGGTATTGAACTCACACTCTTCGGGTCCTGTCACTGGATCTAACCAACGCCTTTATGCCATGTGACATGTGTCTTTGAGGACATCTCTGTATGAATTTCTGGGTATTATAAACTTAATGTCGCAGCACTCATTTTTTTACCAGTGCTCATATTGAAATTTTTTGCTGTTATCATTTCATGTTTTTACCAGAGCTGATATTGCAATTATTGTTATTATCGCTTTTCTCTGGCACTCATTATTACAGGTTCCCATATTGTATTCATTTCTATGCTTGGTCGGCTCAGGAGATTTTTGTGGCCTAGCATATGTGCTTATACCTTAAGTTTACGAATTTTCCAATGGTTTTCTTTGTCTATGCTCTCAATCTGATCCCACAGAGGGCGGTGATCTCCTTTTTTGTCTCTATATGTGGTCAGCCACGCCTGATTTTTCCACTTCCCCTCGTGTTACAGCTTTCTGGTGTTCTTGCAACCTTTCCTTAAGGAGGCGGCATGTCTCCCCTTTATATTTAAAGAGTGTGAGTTCAATACTCGAAACGTTGTAATAAATATGGCGACAAAAATGAGGACAATAGTCCGAATAATGTAAATAGTGTACTCCCACTTATTTTATAAAACTTCAAGAATAACTATTTTGTAGCGCTTCCAGTTTATATTAGTTAGGAAAAGTCCTCCGAAAATTTAAATCACATTTTTTTTTGTCAAACAGGACCTCCAGTTACATAAAATATACCCTGAATCGTAAAATAAAAATGCAACAAAACTAAGAAATTATTTAATTAGAAAATATTTTAATTGCTCTTATGAATAATGAAGGTTCACAAGAAATTTTAATTAGAATAATGTGTAAATTTTATATCTTCTAAAATTCTGTATTAATTTGTAGCACGCAAGAAATATTGTTAATAAATTAAAACTGTATTTACTATTCCTAAATAGAAAAACCTACTACAATTTAGCGATCACCAGTATTTTAAAAATAATGATTTTTGACTGTACAAATGTGCTAATATTTTTAAAATACAGACGCCCATGCCCAAATTATTAGAAAATAAAAGCGGTAATTAGAGTAAATTTAAAAATTTATTCGTAACATTTCTACAAGTAAGTAAGATTTTTATAGTTTCCATAGTACTTAAAATTCAATAAAATATTAGACTTCTTAGAATATTTTCTTAAATTTTAAAGGTTTCTAGGTTTCTACGTAGTTCATATATTTTCAGCTATCACAGTCATTATTTGGAAAAAGTAAAAAAAAAACAAATAAAACACATGCATTGTGCCTCTCGAGATAGAGGGTTACTGAGGGTGTATGCTGTGAGAGTGGAAAGAATAAGTGGTAAGAGACATACTTTATGCGAACATATAAGGAAGATAACCGTTAATCCTAGACTAGAACAGGTTAAGATTGTAGTGGTCAGGAAAGCCTCGTCAGGCTATATGCTGTGTGTTCTTGCTTGATTATTTATATGACACTGCCAGATGACCTTGTTTATCGTAAATAATGAGATTCTTATCAGCGGCCGCAAAATGGTTGACTGGCTTAGATTCTTTGCGATTAGGGACGAACGATAGAAGACGTTAAAGAATTGAGGCCGTTGGGTAGCTCAGGATTTGACGGTAGGCAGAGAGTTGCGCGCTTGTCGTCCTGACAGATGATGAACTCGATAAAAACCAATGACAAGTTGTTGTTGACAATGAAATGCAGGAGACGTACAGATGCAAATTCGTTCTTTCCCAGTTTCTTTGTCTACGATTTAGGAAGAACTGAAACATTCAGCTTACCGAACAGGACATCACCGACTGTGAGCATCAGAAAAGAAAAAAAAATAGAAATAGGGGAGGGGTATATTCTATGATTGATTATATTTTGTAATCCTCTAATGTTGATGAGTAGATAAAGTCCAAACTGACCAATCCCCGGGGGGTAATCAAACGCCTACTCATTCGTTTCTATCCGTGTGAGTCATTATTTATTTTTTTTTTTTACAGGGAGGTTCACCTTGTACAAGGCCCGGGGGCCCCTCGAGTTAGATGCATGCAGACTAAGACGCAGTTTATACGGATAGGAAGGGAAGATAACGGTTAATCCTAGACTAGAACAGATTAAGATTATAGTGATCGGGAAAGCA